TCTCTCTCTCTCTCTCTCTCTCTCTCTCTCTCTCCTCCCGCGGCGCAGCAACTCGTTTATGTATATGCATGCACCTGCCGATGGATCGGCCTCGGGGTATAACTTGCTAGAGATTATCATTGTGCGCCGAGATGCGCTTCAGGTGTGCCGCGAATGGGCACCGACGACCGCCGCGTCATTATGATCCTTGCGCGTCTCCGAGACAACGGAGGGTCTCGCTAAAAATATTTTAACGCGGCTACAGGACTGCGACGGCTATTACCGTCGCTGCATTTTTAAATCGCTTGCGGTACGTATTTATAGAGCGCCAACCGCAGCCACGGGCATAATGTGCATCGTCGGGGGCGAGTCGTTCATAACAGTGTTGCGAAATTTGGAACGCAAGGACGAGCGTCGTCCAAAATTTAGGCTCTTTGAAGTAACATTTTTTTTTGCGCGCCGACACTGGAGTCCCGCAACCGTCCGCTTCTGGAGGACAGAGAGTCGGACTTGCTGTGTGTGGGAGGAAACACTGATACGAATTGCACCTCGATACGCGGCACAAAACGCAGCACAGAGCAGCGGAGAAAGTTAGATGACGGCCTATATTGTGAGGCTTTCTTTGTTTTAGTTGTCCCACGTTAACAAGGGCACAATGCTGCCTTCGCAAATAACGTTGTTTAACTAAATTCTAAAGACAGCAGAAGCGCATGCTGCTAAACTCTCAAACCACAAGCGATTTCACTTTCAGCGCATACTCATGACAGACAACGCAAGAGTCTGCGATTTTTGTAATTGTAATTTTAAATTATTATTATTATTATTTATAATCCGTTAAATGTGCGCAATCATTTATTCTGAAGCGTGCACACGTTGCGCTCAAGAAAAATTTTGATCAACGTTTGGCTGCATTTCTCTTTGCGAAGGCTGCAGCAGATTCGACGTGTACTACATTGTGGAATAGTTCTCCTTTTTGATCGTAATGGAATTGGAAGAGGCGAACCTCATAAAGCTCAAACGCTCGAGAAACGTACGTTTCTGGAATGAGGAACTTAGCTCGCCTGTCGAGCCGGAAGCTCCTGTCTGAACGTTCTGGTTCAGCGATTTCTTGGTTCCCTGCGATACTCCTTTTTCCCGCTGCGACGACACGTTGGTTAGATGTATCGCCTGTCGTCGATGTATTTTACAGGGATTATTCACGTAGGAAGAGAGAAGTGCGTTTGAATGGTTTTTCGCGACGATTCCCCCGTAAAAGATTCTTCAACTTTTCGATCCGACGTTTTTCTAAAGCGCGTGATTGAAAAGTCGAGAAACTGATAGTTCCATTAATTTGAGAATTTTTATGATCGCTCGTGATAACGTCGTGAGTTTGATAGACGCAGAATATATCCGAACGCTTCTTTTGAAACGTTAATTATAAATTAACGAAGCACTGTGAGATGTCGAGCGTGAACGGGCCTTTACCGATAATCGCGTCTTATCTTCTTCAATGCGCAACTCGATCTTCACGAGTGGCGTCGGTAAACCTCCTCGTTTAGATGCTGCTGTGAAATCGCGACGAAAGGAATACGAAACGAATTGTGACAGGAATTCCTAATCGCCGAAGGACAGTCGGGCTACAACTTGATACCTGTAAACTCGGTTGTATCCTCGATTTGATAAAACGCCGGCACCTTGTTAGAAAGGAAGCGCTGCGTTACGGCTGAATGGGTTTGAGGAAATGTCTATTACTCGAGTGTAATTTTAATTCAATGAGGCACGCGTTGAATATACGATGTGGGCTACGCTCGAGTATCGTTTCTTGGTTTCTTCAACTTTTAATTGGATTTCCTTCGCAGCCTCTCCTTGATCTCCTTTCATGATTCTGTTCGTTGCTATCGACTTATAATTGGTGTCAATTCGATTTGGCGAGTTCGCATAGCAATATCGAATAAAAATGCAACATATCGTGTACATAATTAGAAAGCGAAAACTTTTAACTTGAACAATACGCATTATAATTCCAAGAGAAAGAGAAACGAAACAAAATACATATCGCCTAATTTGCATAAACGCACAGCGCGCCCATAAGTACAATGCCGCTTCAACTTTGGCTCTCGCAGCAGAGGCTTAAAGGGAAACTAATTTGCATACAGAGAGCTCAGTGAATTCGAAAATTTGTGTGCAGACTCCGCTCGTCGCCGGCCGTCCGCCTCTTTCTTCCCTTCCCGCGAGGGCGGATGTGTTTGCTTATTGCACGCGTGAATTTTAAGTTCTCTTCTCAGGGATGATAAATTATTCAAAAGTGCGACATATATCAGTGACGGATGTTACTGAGAGCGCGGTAAAATATATTGGGCGGTGCTCGAGTAGAATTGCGGAAGCGTTTTTGTCGTATTTATTCGAGTGTATTTGCGACCTTTCATGTCGTGACGGAAATTTCGCGTTGTTGGCAACTCAGCGTTAGCTAAAATAAAAAATTATCGAGTTTGGTTAGTGAGAGATATGCATTTTAAAGTTTTTTCTTAATAAATATTCAGAAATCGTTGCTGATTTAATTACACGACGAACCTTAAATGCTTGACGAAACTTTGCTGATATCAGGAGACACGTTAGCGGCAAAATTATAGGATATATTTTAACCAACGTATAGACTATCTCTATCGTCAAGTCACTGCAGCAAAATGACGTTATAAGAGTGACGGATCTCACAACTCGATATGGTATCATAAATAGAATGAATCCAACGGTGATGTTGACTGCAAGCAATTTATTATTTCGAGACTTGCTTGCGCTTAAGTAATGCACGTTGCGATATGTACTCGCATTAATTAAAAATGTAATTCGCACTTACCCAGCAGGATGAAACGCTCGATATCTATGCTCGACCACGTTCCATCTATTGATTTCATCGTTATCAGGTCGTATAGAATGAAACAGTCGAGCATAACGAAAATAAAACCGGGGAACACTAGGAACATAAAGGTGGACGACACGCAGATGTCGTACATAACCTCTTGCTCAAAGTGTTCGTATAATTTCAACTCTGTACATATCAGTACGATGCACATTATCCAGATGAACAAGATGCCCTTTACAGCCGTGCGGATTTTGAGGAGCGGTGCGTGAAGAGGCGAACTTTTGTGACAGATCACCACGTATGCCTCGATGTTGAGCTGAACAATCGTCAGCACAGACGAGTCGAAGGTCAACAAGAACACGTAGTCGAGATTCATCGTGAAATACACGTCGAAAAGCCAGTAAAACACTTGTTGAAGCGGTTCAATCAGGATTAGCAGGTTCGAGCACATCAGGCTTATTATGTAGCAATTGGCGGTAGTCCGCAGGAAAGAATTGCGTAGGATAACGAGACAGAACAGAACATTTAAGCTGACACCCACCGCCAGAAGAGTAAGGTCCATGATATCGCGCGTGGGCTTAGGGATGATCGGTACAATAACGTTCATCCTCGTGGGATTCATCGTCTCGTTGAAATGCTCGTGCAGTAATTTTTCCTTCACGTATTTGTGAATGTCTTCCATATCGTATTCGCTCATTATGAGATAGCCGCGCAGCAGACTTATCAACTCTTGAGTATAATCTACAAGTACAGAACTCTCGTCGATCAGCCGTGCACTTGGAACATTTCCACGTACACTCACTGGATCTTGAGTCTTTATGCCGCCGTTAAACTGTAGCACTCGTAATCTAATCGGCCTTGCTCATATGAGCTGAATTATGTCCTTATACCTCTCAAGGGGTACGAAAGAAGTGCTCTTCGACAGACTCCGGCGGTCTTGTTGCTTCGGACATGTTGCTTCGACGGTATACACGCTTGCTACTGAGTGGCATCAGACAGTAGTTTGTAGGATCGTCGTCTGTTTTACCTTCATCCCTGTGGGAGTGTGACGCCCTGAAATAACATGGGCGGGTGCCGACGAGCAACTAACAATATTATTACGCAAGTTGCCGACACGCGACCGTTTCATTTGGTAAAGTGGATCTTTAACGAGATCAATTATCGAGGTCGGTTAGAAGAATTATATTTACTCAACAATTCTCTTAAAATGAGTCAATAAAAATGTCCCTAATTAAATTCTTGATTAAATAAAAAGAAGTACTTCACTGATAATCAATGAATATTCATTGATTTTCAGTAAAAAGTTATCCCTCACTCTATTGCTCCATTTTATATCTTGCTGATTTTGATCAATGCAAGTAAGATTTCACTAAAAAATCTGAGACACATATCCGTTACATGTTTTGTTAAATTCAACTTTCTACATTTTTGGCGAGGGAATCAACGACCTCCATGACATTTGCGTACAATAATATCGTCTATGTTTACAAGTTGCATTAATAACAGAAGCAGTCACTGTTTCTAGATTTATCTACTATTGATGGATTTTTTCAACCAGATTTTACCGATTGCTATACTTATAATTGAGACCCTAGTTATAAATATGGAGTACCTTGATTGTACTTTAGAGAGAAGAAAACCGAAGTGACTTGCATATTGAGATAGATGTATCAGTCGATAAAAATAAAGAAAATGAAAATTGCAACGCGTTACACGCAGCCATAGTTATAAATACAATTCGAGCTTCGTTAATTGAAGGGAAGATTCTAACTCCACCGCGAGTCTGTAAACGGGCGCGACATTCCTCAACTTTGTCGTCTCAATAACGTGTTGTCGCAGTGTCTGAATATTTGCATAATAAGATACGAGGGTAAATACATAAAATACGTCGAATGTACCGAGAAGTTACAGAATTTCTTATTCACGATGAGGAAATCTCCGTCCTTGAGGACTTGCCTGAAGGGCTCTCGCTTTCTGGCCGCGAATAACCACTTACTGGCGAACGAAAAAGAAATAAAAAAATGACGTTGGAATAAATCGCGCTTCTTACGGCTCGTCCATTCGTAAAAGAGAAGAGACGAGAGCTGCGGCGGCTGACAGAGCATGTGTGTGTGTGTTACCGCCACGCGATTGAAACGAAAGACAGAGAGAGAGAGAGAGAGAGAGAGAGAGAGAGAGAGAGAGAGAGAGAGAGAGAG